TATATACACATGCTAGTTATGTTAGTCTTTTTGTGGTAATTTGTGCATTATGGTTTGTACACTATGGTTTGTAAACCACAGGTTATGGTTTATATGTTTCTATAATGTTATATATAAACACAGCACATGTCGCTTATTAAACAAACAATGACTTAAATACATAGCAAAATACATGAATCTGGCAAATAACAGCAGGCACTCTGATGTCTTCCTACAGCCTCTTGTCATTGGCTATGCTAGCTGGGGCTGAAATCGAAAAATGTGGGTGATTACCAAGTTGCTTACTCCCATCTGTGATTTCTGAAGGGATTTCCCCACTTGACAGCATTGCAATCAGCTCATCTTTATCAATCATAATGGGGGGAGAGGATAGGAAGTCTTTCCAAATTTTATCACATGTCAGAAAAACAGCTCACTACATTTTCCTGACTAAACAACTGAGTGGCATAAAATGTAATCGCCAGGGGAACGGCTTATCTGCATATGTCTGAGTCTATTTCTGTATCACTTCTCTCACTTTAAAGGCTGGTAGAAAAAGGAAGCTAAATCCTGACTGAATCAAATAACTTTTACTAAAAGTACATATAGATTTTATATTAATAATATGAAATCCTCTTATATTGCATCTTGGCTAATGAACAATACCAAAAAAAATCCCACTTAAAATGGAACATTTTCCTGCAATTTCCCACATCGCCTCCGCTGTACCCAGGGTGTTGGCAGGAGACAGTTGAAAAAGTCAAGATGGTGGCTGTGATAGTGCAATTGAACCTCCACATAAAAAGCAGGCCAAGCTTTGATTATGGCTGCCATATTGACTTTTTTTACCATAAGCTGCAGACATTCCTTGCTATATTCATCTATAAAGAATGAATATAGACTCACTGAAAAATGCAGAGTTGGAACAGGATGGCAAGAGAAACTAGCAAAATACTTGCTGTTATTACTAAGTATTCCATTGACTGGTACATACTGGAAGCAGCAGAAGGTAGGCAGAAAGCAGCAGGATGAGTGAACAAGGCATTGCTCCTGGGCTGGTCTTGGAATTGCAAGGAGGCACACTTAAAATGCTAATTATCCTTCTGAAACTGTTGGACTTATTATCTGTAATAGCAAGCAATGATTGATTGGTTGATTGATGACATGCCATCAAGTTGGTGTCAACTCTTCGTAATCACATAGATTTTCTCCATGATGATTTGTCCCTAACTTGGTGCTTCAGGTCTTCCATCACTGCTGTAATTCAGTTGATCCACTTCGCTGCTGGCCTTCCTCTTTTCCCAATCCCTTCCAGAGAAATTATAATCAACCCCAGAACAAATGTGGTCAATAAGGGCAACCCAGAAACAAATGTACCCTTGTCTAAGGCATAAGCAAGTTTTAATATTGGCAATGCAACTTTAGATGATGAAAATGAACACGGACAGATAAAGAATAGCAAAGTTGTTCCAAACTGGAAGTGACACCTCAAATAGCTGTTAGTTTGAGGAGGGCCTTTTCTAACATGAATATTTTTTATTGTTAAAATACAAGAATACAAAAGAAAGTAAGAAAAAGAATAAGATGGAACAAAAGAATATCTACTAAATATAGATGAAAAAGCACAGTGAGAACACTTTCTGATAACACATCCTCCCCGTCCCTTCCATTTGTATTCCCAACCGCTAACCACAATATTTATGCTTTACACTGAACATTAATGATTGTTGTTCATTTCTTTTTAAATCCTAGAAACCATATTCCAAATATGGTTTAAATCTGAATCTGCCTTACTATGCAATGTGTTAGATATATGGGAGCCATTCCTGCTTGAATTTGGTTAGACTTTTATTACGGATATATACTGTTAATGTTGCCATTGCAGCATATTCTCCAATTTGGGTCTCCCAGTCTGATATCACTGGTAAAGTTTGTCTTTTCCAAAGGTGAACCAGGTTTGTTCTTGCTGCTGTCCACAGTGATCCTAATGGTGAGGTAGCTAGACTTATCTCTGCTTTCAGAAGATTCCAAATTTTGACAGGAGAAAAGCTTAGGTTACAACTAATAAACAGCCCATGATTTAAAAAAATTCTGATCATGAGCTGTCAATGAGCTGAAGATGTGCTGTTATTAACTTTTCCTCTATGGAGAAAAGCAGAAGAATTGTTTTTAACTACAAAAAAGGATACACAAGGAAGGTGGGCAAACCAGCCAAGATTCCATCTGAATCCAAGATTCCAAGGAAGCAAGATTCTATTGGAACAGGTTCAGTTTGAGAAAAGATTCAGCCATAGGCTTTAAGGGGAAAGAATCACCTACTTCATTTTACATGGGGGGAATGGGAGAGTGGTGATAGACTCCTTATCAAGAACATTACCCTCACTACAGTTTCAACCATTATCCTCAATGCTTTCATTGCAACAGTTGTTTGAAATATTCCTCCTAGATCTCTTTAAAGCAAACAGCAGAGATGAAGAAAGGACAGCACAGGAACCTCCAAAATGTTTAGTGGTGGAGTTCAACTTCTACTGCACTAATTCCTTGCTGGTGGGTTTTCCATAGATACCTGTTTGGTTATTGTAGGGAAATAATATACTATCGGTATCAATCAACACCATATATACAGTTGAACAGTAAAGACAACAAGCATGGCAAGCAGCTTCCTCAACCCACACATTGCTATTACATCCTAGTTTCTGCTTCCTGAGGTGACTGCCCTAGTCTACTAATGGCAGAGCTGGCACTGAGAAAAATGTAAGAACAGGAAAAAAATTAAACATCAAATCCTTTGGTACCGCAGCCTTGATCAAACCTGGAACTCTCACGTTCTGTACAGAAAAGGTTCCAAGTATTTGTAGTGTCATATGCAGGTTTGAACTGCAATGTTAGGAAAATTGAAAGGAATTAGCAGTTAATAAGAGCCAATTTGGTGTAATGGTTAAGGCATCAGGCTAGAAATTGGGAGACTGTTAAGTTCTGGTCCCATTTTAGCCACAAAGCCAGCTGAGTGACCTTCGGCCAGTCACTCTCTCAACCCTAGGAAGGAGGCAATGGCAAACCACTTCTAAAATCTTGCCAAGGAAACTGCAGGGACTGGTCCAGGCAGTCGCCAGGAGTCAACACTGACTCGAAAGCACACACGCACATACACAGTGGTTAATAATGCAACCATATACATATCAACTCAGATGTATGAGATCAGCGAAGATCAGTGAGGCTTACTCTCTAGTAAGTATGCACAGATTTACAACATTCAGCTCTGAATCTATGTAGCTGTATGGGCTGAGGATGGGCTTTTTGGGAAGACGTATTTCTATAGAACACTGATCTCCAGAAATAAATTGTAGACAGCTTCAAACTAGTCTCTCTTTCTCTTAATCTGCCCTTGGAGCTAGAACTCCTAATTTACTTATTTTCAGACATACGTGCTGCCCATTCTCAAATGAATCTGAACGGCTTTTGAAACTATAAATATTTCAAAATTGACATACACACACATATAGAAAGAGAGCTGAATTACTGTGGACTCTGTAGGGGACAATTAAACCAGTTAAACATGGTTTAATTATACCTCCAACACTGATGTGACTGATGTATGTAAAGGTCCTCTCTACCTCCTATTGTGAATGAGTTCATAAATAGAAACATATTTTAAAAAGCAGTTGTTCACATGCTTTATTTTCTAAACTATGCTTTGCAACTATATTCTGACCCCAAAGTCAGTCTGTGCTTGACTTATACCATGAAGGAATCAAATATTTATTCAACAAATTATCTTCAGGAGTTAGATGAAGAAATAACCTCTAAGAGCTCATGAAAAATGGTTTTCCGATGCACATCAACCAGCAAACTGACTGCTGAAGCATTCCACGGCTTCTTCCATGCTCTTACACCGCTTTCTCTTCTGCTATGTGTAATCTAACATTTCCTATTTAAAGCATCACCCAAGAAATCCCCTCTCTCTGAGTGTGAAATCCATGGAAGAACAAAGCAGAACTGTCAGCAAATGCGAGAGCTATCAGATGGACATCGGGACTCTCTTGGGGAACATTTGCTGTATATACTTTCAAAATCTGTTTGGACATCTAGGAACAGACATAATAAGTTTTCATTCTGTCAAATGAAAGACAGGCAAGAGAATTAGTTATGGTGGGTTGAATCAAAATGATATCAGAAACTTCACAGACCAAAACAAAAAATGGGCGTTTTCTTCCAGAGGAGTGAATTCCTGA